TTTTTTTTTCTTTTTGCTTATGTAGTGCTGAGGAATCAAACCCAGGGCCTCATGCGTGCAAGGCAAGCGCTCTACCACTGAGCCAACTTCCCAGCCCCGAGAAAATACTTTTTTAAGGGCACAGACAAACAAATAAAAGATAATAGCCTAATCACAAGTTGGTAGCTCACACCTGTAATCCTGGCAATCAAGAGGCTGAGATCTGAAGGCTCAAAGCCAGCCCAGGCAGAAAAGTCCATGAGACTCTTTTCTTTGATTCACTGGCAAAAAGCTGGAAGAGGAGGTGTGTCTCCAGTGGTATAGCATCAGCCTTGAGTGAAAAAGCCAAGCAAGACAGCATAGGCCCTGAGTTTAAGTCCCAGTATCAGCATACAATAAAAAACAAGCCTTACACATTCTAAGGCACCTGAAAAAGAACCAGGGAATTACCTTTTATGACCTTGGGGAAGGTGAAGCTCTGTTGACTGGGGGAGGCTGGTTGGGAATCACCATAAAGTACTAACTGATCTTTCATGTGTGTCCTTCTCCATGTCTGTGCCTCTGTCTTCCTGCCCTTCTGTCCTTGTTTCCGTCACATATTTGTCTCTGAGTGACTCTGTGTGTCTCCCTCCTTTACCCTCTTTCCGCCCATTTCTATCCCTCCTTTGGGTCCCCTCCCTCTCCCCCTTTGCTTCCCCCATCCATCAGCGAGAAGGACCAGCAGTGGCAGAGGCTCCAGCAGCCCTCCATGGCTGCCTTGGGCCCAGGGTGCTGTGTGGGCTGCAGCAAGGTCTTCGGCCGTCTGTCTCGGCGCTATCCATGCAGGTAATGGGAAGGCAGACTTGCACCTCTGGCATGACTCTTTCTCCCTGCCTGTCCCAGGGAAGGAAGGAAAGAGGGACCTGGGCACTTAAAGCAGGCCACTGAAACCTGGCCACTTAACTCACTCCATCCGCCTTCCAAAACTAAGGAGAGTTATGAGGAACAGTGGGAAGGGCCAGAGGAGGGCATCCTGCAAGGTGGGATGTATAACCTGCTGGGCTCAACAGGAAGAAGGATACTACACAGAGGGACACCTCCCCAGGACTTCACAGGAACAGGACATACAGGAGGTGTGGGGAGATTAAGCCAATAGGAGACCTTGCCATGTGGAGTTAGAAGTTCTAGGGGGCTGGCTATCAAGATACCCGTTTGGGTTTTTGTTTTTGTTGTTTTGTCGGGTGTGGGGCCTGAACTCTGGGCCTGAGCACTGTCCCTCAGCTCTTCAGCTCAAGGCTAGCACTCTACCACTTGAGCCACAGCACTACTTCCAGTTTTTTCTGTTTATGTGGTGCTGAGGAATCAAACCTAGGGCCTCATGCATACAAGGCAAGCACTCTACCACTGAGCCACTTTCCCAGCCCCTCAAGATACCCTTTTGATGCCAGGCACTGGTGGCTCAGACACCTGTAATCCTAGCAACTCGGGAAGCTGAGACCTGAGGGTCACAATTCAAATACAGCCTGGTCAGGAAGGTCTGTGAGACTCTTATCTTCAATTAACTGCCAAAAGAAACACACACAAAAAAAACCAGAAGTAGAGCTTTGGCCCAAGTGGTAGAGCCTTGAACACAAAAGCTCAGGGACAGCACCCAGGCCCTGAGTTCAAACCCTAGAACTGGCACATACACATACAAAAAAAAAAAAAAAAAGACACCCTTTAGGAAAGTTTCTGTGACAGTCCAAAGAAGATGAGAAAAAAGAAGTAGAGTCAAAGATGCTAGATAGAACTCCTGACCCCCAGTGTATACTCAGGAGCTATACCAGCCACAGGGCTCACCCCACACTCCCTTCTGTCTGTCTCCAGGCTCTGCGGGGGTCTGGTGTGCCACGCCTGCTCAGCAGATTACAAGAAAAGAGAGCGATGTTGCCCAGTCTGTGCCCAGGGAAGAGCCCAAGTTACCTGAGCAAGTCCACAAGACAGGCCATGACCAGGAACTCACCCCATCTGATCTACTCCCTTCCCTCTCTCTGTCTAGCCTTCTAGAAACTGATGAGCTAGGCACTAGCACAGTGGGGTGGAGTGGAAGAAGGCAGCTGGCTGTAGCAGATAATTCTAGCCTATAACCCTCGTGACGGAGGAGGTGAATGGGATGTGCCCTCAGCTCTTAGAACGTCGGCGCTACTGCGAGTGAGTTGAGTTTCAACCTCTGTAAAATCCCTAGAGGCTCAGCCAGTCCATGACCACAAATAAAGAGCCCAGGGCCCAGCTGTCTCTCCTCCCTGCTCTACCAGCTACAGTGTGGGTTCTTTAAGAGCTCCCTGTCTAATCGGCTTCAGGAATCTGCGTCTGATTTATTTCATTTTACTGGCATCAGATTTCTGCTATTGATAGATAATAAACATTCCCTGAAGTGGTTGAGTTTTGACTTTAATACACACCTGTAAAACCCTTACCATATTCACATACATATCCATCAGCCCCAAAGTTTCCTCATGCCCCACCCTTGCCATTCCTCATCCCTCCATGCCCAGGCAACCACTTCCCCTGCTTCCTGTCACCACAAGCGAGTATGCATTTTCTAGAATTCTATGCATATCAACTCATTCAGTACACGATCATCTGCCAGCCTCCACTCAGCACAATTATTCTGAGATTTGTCCAGGTTGTTGCATGTGACAATAGTTCTTGTTTTTGTGGCTGAGTAATATGCCACTGAGTAGATTTCATTTTTTTTTGTTTTTGTCGGTCGTGGGGCTTGAACTCTGGGCTTGGGCGCTGTCCCTCAGTTCTTCAGTCAAGGCAAGCGCTCTACCGCTTGAGCCACAGCACCACTTCCGGGTTTCTAGTGGTTTATTGGAGATCAGAGTCTCACGGACTTTCCTGCCCAGGCTGACTTTGAACCGTGATCCTCAGATCTCAGCCTCCTGAGTAGCTAGGATTACAGCCGTGAGCCACCAGCGCCTGACAGTATATTCATTTATATGATCATCTGTCCCTTCATATGTGAGTGGTTTCCATTTTGGAACTATTACAAATAAATTTCCTCTGAGCATTTTTTGCCAGTCTTTGTACTCTTGTTTTCCCAGGGCACAGGTATTACAAAATATTTTTTTAATGTAGGGTTGGTCAAATTGGAAGATTTAGAAACCATGGAAGCAGAGCCCATGGGTACAAAGATACAGAAATACAGTTGGCTAACTGTATTTTCTGAAGATATTATATACACCCTCAAGTGTAGGAGAATCCCAGTTGCTCCCCAATGCATCAGCTTTGATGGGAGGAACAGGCATGGGGCTCTCTGTCTTTCCTTTTTTACCCCATGATCGTCACTTGACCCCCGTACAATCATTTCTCTGCACAGTCCAAGAAAAGAGAAATTGCGCATCATTCACTGGGCACCTAATTGTGTACTTCTGAAAAACCTGTTTCAGATGAAATGTAGGCCAAGCCCTCACACCTAGCTACTCAGGAGGCTGAGATCCAAGGGTTGTGGTTTGAAGACAGTGCAGGTAGGAAAGCCTACAAAATTCTTCTGTCCAATTAACCACCTCAAAATTGGAAGGAGAGCTGTGGTTCAAGTGGAAGAGCACCAGCCTGAAATTTAAAAGGTCAGGGACAGCACCCAGGCCCTGGGTTCAAGACCCAGGACCAGAAGGAAGAGGGGGAGGAGGAGGAGGAACAAGTAGAGGAGGAGAAGGAAGAAGAGAAGGAGAAAGAGAAGGAGGAGGAAGAAGAAGAGAAGGAGGAGGAGAAGGAAAAGAAGGAGGAGAATGAGAAAGAAGAGGAGGAGACAGAGGAAGAGGAGAAGAGAAGGAGGAGAAGGTGAAAGAGGAGGAGGAGACGGAAGAGAAAGAGGAGGAGAAGGAGGAAGAGGATGAGGAGAAGGAGCAGGAGGTGGAGGAGCAGGAGGGAGGAGGGGGAGGGGGAGGAAGAGGGGGAGAAGGAGGAGGAGAAAATAATAATGTAGACCCCACTCTATGACAAAGTTATCTGCCCTACCAAAGTCCAGTTCTAGGGTACATTGTGTGTCTCATTTAGCCATCTACACTGTTCTTACCCACTCTGCCTTATACAAACCGCGGAGCCTCTGCAGGGTTGAGCAATCCTGCGGCTCTGACCACAGCCAGTGGACAGCCTGTTGGGGTCAGGGTCACCCAGAGTTACATCCCATTGCTTTTGCATGGAGCAAGAATTTTGCAACAACAGTTTCTGCCCTGAAGAGTGGGTAAGAACGTCTCCTCAGCAAGCACAATAAGGGAATGGGGCAGCTGCCACTGGGAAATCCTCAAGCAAATAAGGCAATGAACTCACCCCTAAAAGGCTTCAGCCTCTTCTGGAAATTAGCTTGAGTCACATGACAGAGTAAAATTATATTTGCAGGCATTCCAGCACTGATTCCAACCATGGTGTCACTGACTGGGGTGGGGCCAGTAGAGGAAGCAAGATGGCAGAGACCTCAGGAAAAGGAATCTGGGCCAGGAAGGAGAATGCTTGACCCCCTCTCATGTTTGGAAAAAGGAAGTACATGGCTAAGTCCGAGCTTCTAGCTTATCACTGTCTCTAAAAAAATTCCCGCCAATCCAGGGAAGAGAAAATAATGTGTTAAAGCAACTAGAGCCGGGTACCAGTGTCATACACCTATAATCCCAGCTACTGAGGAGGCTGAGTTCTGAGGATTGCAGTTCAAAACCAGCCTAAAGGGCTGGGAAGGTGGCTCAGGGGTAGAGTGCTTGCCTTGCATGCATGAGGCCCTGGGTTCAATTCCTCAGCATCACATAAGCAAAAAAGAAAAAAGCCAGAAATGGCACTGTGGCTCAAGTGGTAGAGCGCTAGCCTTAAGCTGAAGAGCTGAGGGACAGCGCCCAGGCCCAGTGTTCAGGCCCCACGACCGGACCCAAAAAAAAAAAAAAAAACAGCCTAGACAGGAAATTCTATGAGATGCTTCTCTCTAATTAACCACCAAAAAGCCTGAAGTGAAACTATGGTTCAAGTGATAGAGGGCCAGCCTTGAGCAAAAAAAAAGCTCAGGGACAGTGCCCAGGCCCTGAGTTCAAGTCCTAGTACAAGCACACACTGTTAGGTTTTTAAAGAGAGGTTGCCCAGTAAGAACCACACCATGCACGTGGTATTCAGGTAAGGCGTAGGTTTATTCATCGTTACAGCTGGCACCAGGCCATGTTGGCACTGCACGTGGCTGGGAAAAGACCTGGGAAAGAGATCATCTGGCCCTGGGCTAGGCCTTATCTAGGGTAGGGGCAGGGAAAGGTATGGACACATCGAATCCAGATGTGACCTCAGCAGATGTAGATGTGACCTTTTCCAGGTGTGCCAGTTGCCTAGGTAATGCAGGTACTAGGCGGAGACTTTGCTGCGAGGAGGGTGGACTCTGCTCGCCATCCAGGAGCGGACGTTACACACACATACCTGAAAAACAACTAGAGGGCGGCATATATGCCGCAGTGGTAGAGTACTTGCCAAGCATGCAAGCATAAATGAATCCCGGGGTTCAATACTCACTGCCAAGAAGAAGAAAGAAGAATAACAGGAGGAGGAGGAGGAGGAGGGAGAAGATGAAGAGGTAGAGGTAGAGAAAAGAAGATGAATGAATAAAAAAGAAAGGAAAGGAAAAAGACAAGAAAAGGAAATCAAAGCAGCCCAAAACGTGATTCAATTCAGAGACCTCTGATGGGAAGTAAATGGTCACTAGAGACCCACCCCCCCCCCAGCCTGGAGGGCAGCAGTCCTCTATCAGGACTCCAGCGGTCATATTCAGCCACAGCAGCTCCCAAGAGCACTTTGCAGGGGCTGGAGCCTGGTATGAGCACATGCGGTCTAAGTCAGCAGTGTCAGGCTCTGTCGCTGTTGTTGATATGACTTCACTTATACTTAGAGGTTGGGGTTACCCTGGGAATTCTGGGCAATAAAACTACATAGTTCTTCAAACCAGATGCCAGCAGGAGGCCCACATACAGCCGCTCCCCTAAACTTTGCCAACTCATCTGGTGCTCAACAGAACTGTGTTAAGCACTGGGATATGGGAACACAGAGATAAAGAGACACACAAACCCCTTCCTTACAAGATGGGAAAGGAAGAGCCAAACAGATGGATTACAGAACTCTGGGCTCAATGAAGAAAGAAAAAGGGGAATCAGCCAGATCAGAGGGTATAGAACAGTCCAAGGAAACAGAGAGGACATACCAAGATGCCCAGGGGAAATCCAAACAGTTCCTTGGCAAAATGCAAGTAGTTCCCAGAGGTTCGGTTTAGGAGTTCCGGGGATTGGACGGAAGGAATAGAGCTAGAGAAGTCACGAGGGTCAGCCCCAGGGCAGTCAGAGACCCAGAGAAGGACTGACTTTGTCTGAGAACAACAGGGGTCCTGGAATGGTCAGTAATGCCAGTCCTGGGGCTTGAACTCAAGGCCTGGGTGCTGTCCCTGAGCTTCTTTTGCTCAAGGCTAGAGCTCTACCACTTAAGCCACAGCATCACTTCTAGCTTTTTGTGTATGTGGTACTGAGGGATCAAACCCAGGGCTTCATACATACTGAGCAAGCACTCTACCACTAAGCCACCTTCTCAGTCCAAGATGATTAAATTTGTATTTCAGGAAGGTCTTCTTGGCAGCAGAATGAAGGGTAGATTGAAAGGGGAAAGACTTAAGGCCAAGATGTAACAGGGGAGGAGGAGGAAGGTAGGTAGGCAGCGGCAAACAGGTGCTATATAGAGATTCATTGAGTTACCATAGCAGCTCTAGGCCATAGGTGCTCATATTATTATACTCACTTTACAGATGATTAAACTGAAACCTACTCAAATTAAATCCCTTGCTCAAGATTCCCAACTTGCAAGAGGATCCTAACTGAGCCAGCCCAGCTCCAGCCTCTACATCCACTCTCTAACTGTTGTAGATGAGGCCAGAGAAGACAAAGCATGGTCTAACACTGTCAGCAAAGGTGGTCAGGAGACAATAGACAGTCAAGAGTCATGCTAAGAAGAGGAAGAGCAACGGGAGGGTGCAGGGAGAGGCCTGCACACCTCTGGCTTTGGCAGAATAGATGAGCAGATACTCAGAAGGGACACCTTTGTGATTGGTGTACGTGTTGAATTCACAGCATGGGATGGGCCTCAGAGACATTGCAGGCGGTCATTGCATGTCAGCATTTGGGCTTAGGAGATGTTGGTTGTGAACAGTCCATATTGGGAGGTCCTGGTCCATCCTGGGTACTAGCTGAAGCCATGGACTGAAGGTGAACTCACCTCGGGGAAGCAGGTCAAGTGAGAAGACCAAAGAGTAATTGAGAAATAAAGCAACAAGTAAAAGCAAGGGAAATCAGGAGGAAATGGAAAGAGAAAAGAGGTCAGTGGGACTCAATGATGTAGACATGAATGAGATAAAACCTGAACTGTCACTTTTTAAGTATACAGTACAGGCTGGGTACAGTGTCTAGCACACATGCACTGTCTCCAGTGCATACAGCAAGCTGAGAAAATACTGTAACCTCATTGAGAAGTTTGCAAAATGTACAACTTCCAAAACAAGAGTTCCTGCATGCAAATTGATGGCAAAAAATATATAATTGTATGTAAAAAGGAAGCAGACAGAAATAAGTCATTCTCAATGAACAGAAGGATGGAATAAAAATAATTTAAACCTTACCAGCAATCAAGAAAATACAAATTGAAGGAAGGGGTGACATTGTCCACAAAGAAACGTTCTCATTATCTAACTGTAACTTCTCTGTCACTGTAACTGTAGGAGCTACCTAACTGTAACTCCTCTGTACATCACCTGTAGTTACATGGAAAAACCTGGACAGACTTTGGGGGGAAATATGAGTAGACAGAGGAAGAAAAGAAAACGGAAGAGAGATGTTCAGGTTTATTTTTTTTTTGGGGGGGGGGTCCGGTCGTGGGGCCTGAATTCTGGGCCTGGGTGCTGTCCCTCAGCTCTTCAGCTCAAGGCTAGCGCTCTACTACTTAAGCCACAGCACCACTTCCAGCTTTTTTCTTTTTACTTATGTGGTGCTGAGGAATCAAACCCAGGGCCTCAGGCATGCAAGGCAAGCGCTCTACCACTGAGCCAACTTCCCAGCTCCGAGAGACATTCAGGTTTAATATGAGGTACCTTTACATTGCATGAATTGTGTCTCATATGCATGCTTTATTTTTATAATTTTCAAGCAGTTGAAATGAAGAAAAGAGTTTGCTGGGCTTAGTACTCCAGAGGGCACTGGTGACCTTGGCGAAGATTGTTTCTCGACAGCAAAGAAAGGGAACTTGTAGTTTGTTGAGTAGGGAAGAGAAGAAGATGAAGAAGGAGAAGTACTAACTCTAACTGCTTTTTCAGTACGTTTGCCTGTGGAAGAAGGATGTAGCCCAGAAGGCACAGGGTCCTCAGACAGAGAGCATGAAAACAACAAACAAGGGGCTGGGAAGGTGGCTCAGTGGTAGAGCGCTTGCCTTGCATGCATGAGGCCCTGGGTTCGATTCCTCAGCACCACATAAGCAAAAAGAAAAAAGCCGGAAGTAGCACTGTGGCTCAAGTGGTAGAGCACTAGCCTTGAGCTGAAGAGCTGAGGGACAGTGCCCAGGCCCAGAGTTCAGGCCCCACGACCGCACCCAAAAAAAAAAAAAAAAGAGCCGGGTGCTGGTGGCTCACGCCTGTAATCCTAGCTACTCAGGAGGCTGAGATCTGAGGATCGCGGTTCAAAGCCAGCCCGGGCAGGAAAGACCGTGAGACTCCTATCTCCAATAAACCACCAGAAAACCGGAAGTGGCACTGTAGCTCAAGTGGTAGAGCACTCGCCTTGAGCTGAAGAGCTGAGGGACAGCGCCCAGGCCCAGAGTTCAAGCCCGAAAAAAAAAAAAAAAGAAAGAAAGAAAACAACAAACAAGTTCAAGCCTGAAGGGAAAGAGCCAGACGAGAAACAAGCTGGGACAGAGACAGGGTCCTCAGGGCTTAAAGACACTGAGTCTTCCAGCCAGGGGCAGGGATTCCTAAGACACAGAAGAAGCATTCCTTGTGCTGACCCTGTAAGGAAGGAACTGTACATGCCAGTTCAGCAAGTTCATTGGCAGGGGGCCAGAATGCCCACATCTTCCTCATTAAAAAGGAGGTGCAGGGTCAGAATGTCCAGAGAAGCAGCTCTCCACCTTCAGACTGGCCAGCTCCTCCAGATGCCCTTAGATAGGAAGACGTGAGAATCCCCATAGCTCGTCCCAGAATCATCAGGTAAGACTTTGGCCTGGGGATACATACCAGCGCTGTTTCCTGCTTCTGTAGCCCAGAGCAGACATCTCTCCATCTAGGCTGCTCCCCTTTCTGTCTGTCCAACTGTCTAGACCACTACCAGGCCATGAATCCCAGCAAGGGTGTCAGAGACAAACACAGGCAAGTGAGCTGTCCAGTTTTACAGCTACTAGGAATGTATTCCTGGTGGAAGGGATCTTAAAAACTTCAGCCTTCCCTGGAGTTTCTAAGAACTGTGGTGTAGGATTATAGCATCTGGAGCTGTAGTCACTGCATTTTTGCTAAATGGCATGGCATGAAGGAAGTTTCTGCTATAATGAGCAAGTACCCTATCTGTACCATCCAGTATGGTAGCCAGCAATCAGAGAGCTGCTGAACATTTGAAATGTGGCTGGTATGACTGCCAAACTGTTTTGTTTATTTATTTATATTTTTGTGCCAGTCCTAGGGCCTGCATTTAAAGCCTGGGTGCTGTCTCTGAGCCTTTTTGCTCAAACCTAATGATCTACCACACTATATGTAGCTATACCTACCACACTGGACAGGGAAGAGATAGAGCCATCTCAAATCTCCCAAAGAAACCTACCAAGGCCCTGAGAGCAATGATCTATCCAAGCTATGGCCTATCACCCTGTTCTTGACGGACAGGAACAGGATTGGAATTCAGTTTTTTACTCAGTTCCTTGTATATAGGGCTGGGATGAACAGAGTGGACTATAGTCAGTCACAGGTGGTTCACACATGTAATCCTAACTACTTGGGAGGCTGAAATCTGAGGATCTCAGTTCAAAGCAAGTCTGGGCAGGAAAGTCTGTATGACTCTCATCTTCAGTAAACCACTCAAAAATAATCTGGAAGTAGAGCTATGGCTCAGTTGGTAGAGCTCCAGAGTTGAGCAAAAAACTGCTAAAGGACAGTGCTCAAGCCTTGAGTCCAAAACTCCAGTGCAGCACAAAATAAATAACTTTTAAAATTGCTTAAAGCCCAGTTTCACTGTCACAGTAGGCAAGTTGTTTAACCTCTTAGGTCTTAGTTTCCTCGCCTAGAAAGGTCCTACTTCATGAGGTTGTTGTGAGGGTCAAACGATACAACTTCAGAAAAGTACTTTTCCATGAAGCTACCACATAGTGGACACTCCAAATTTACAGATGCACATTGGAGTCTGCCCTGAAAGCCTGCTTGCTGCTCTCCCTTGACTAGATTATGGTGGGCAAAACATTGTATCACTGCTTGATCATAATCACAATAAATGCTAATGGTACCTTATGTATGTTCTGAGTGCTTTTCAAGAAATCTTGCCAGGTGCAGATGGCTACCCCTGTAATCCTAGATACTCAGGAGGCTGAGATTTGAGGATCACCCTCTCCCTCTCCCTCTTTCTCTCTCTCTCTCCCTGTCCCTCTCCTTTCTTCCTTTCTTTCTTCCTTTCTTTCTTTCTTCCTTCCTTCATTTCTTTCTTTCTTTCTTTCTTTCTTTCTTTCTTTCTTTCTTTCTTTCTTTCTTTCTTTCCTGTGCCAGTCCTAGGGCTTGAGCACTGGATCTGGACTCTGTCCCTGAGTTTTTTATTTTCTCAAGGCTAGTACTATACCACTTGAGCCACGGCTCCACTTCTAGCTTTTTTGTAGTTAATTGGAAATAAGAGTCTCATGGGTTTTCCTGCCCCAACTGGCTTCAAACGTCAATCCTTTGTTCTCAGCCTCCTCAATCCTCAGTTCTCAGCCTCTGAGTTTCTATGATTACAAGCATGAACCACCAGCACCTGGCTGCAATTTTCACTTTTACTCAAAAGCTTTCTTTCCAAATTAGAGAATCTTGATTCCAAGGGTAGATGGTAACTGCTATAGTATCAGGGTTCAATATCCAGTGGAGAAGCCAGTGGAAGTATGGCTCAAGTGGTAGGGCACTGAGCCTGGAGCAGAAAAACCAAGTGAGAGCTTACGGTCCTGAGTTCAAGTTCCACCAGAACAAATGTGTTTAAGCCAAGAAAACATAGCAACACCCAAAAATGGACTTAGGATCAGATCAGATAGTTGGAGAGTGAAGAGAAGAGAGGCATGAATGAGGTCTCCATATAGGGGTAAGGATTCTCAAAAGGACCTGGTATGGAAAAAAGAGTTTATGAGGTTTTGAAGATTCTTCTGAGATGTGAGAAGACAAAACCTTTGGGGGAGGAAGCTACCAGACTGGCTGGAAGCTCCAATTTCATCTCTGCTGTCTTAATGACCTTTGCTGTTCCTCCTTCCAGGGGGGGGGGGAACAACATTGCTGCTGATTGGTATAGCCTGGGCATCTGTGGAAAGTTGGCTGGTGGGCAGGGGCTCTGAGTTCATAGCTGAGAGAGGCCTGCATGGGTCCCTCTCTTTGGGCTTTAATTTCCTTATCTATGTCACAGAACACTGGACTAGAAAACCCCCACATGGTCCTCTCCCAAGATGAATTCTAGGTAACTATAAAACAATTCAGTATCCAGGAGCTGCCCTAGGAATGAAGTATTCAAATATATCACAAGCATCCTGCACCCTCGCTAGCTCCTCCCCTGATTGAGCAATCTAGTCCACCACTCACTTCCTTCAACAAATTCTCAACAAACCACCACCCTTCCATCGGTGACAGCTGCACTCCAGGAGGTGACACAGGTGAAAAGCCAGCATCCTGGTAAGTCGTGGGATACCTCTTCCTACCACCTCTAGGAGTCTCTTTTTGTCCCCCCAATACCCAGGCTGATAGAGGACAGCTACCCCAGTTTGGGGGCTCCTCATCCTTGCCATTTTGCTCTCTTCATTCTCTTGCTTTTGACCTCTCTATCCACAAAGGGAGAAGTGCTACTACTTCTATTGCCCTCTCTGTTACTATTCAGGGCACCTTGCAGCCCACTTCCTGCCCTCGGCTCTGCAGCCTTCCCAGCCCCTTGCTTCTCTTTGATTTTTATTGTGTTTTGTTTTTGGCTTTTTTTTAAATCTAGGATTAGGTCTGAGAATAGGCCAGGTTTGTAGACCCTCTTTCCCTTGCATTAAATATAAGTGTTGGTAGATTATGTTTATAAAGGGAGAAGGAATTCTGGAACTGTAATAAGATAGGTAGATTTGTGTTGTTGTTAAGAGATTACCTGAGGGCTGGGAAGGTGGCTCAGTGGTAGAGCGCTTGCCTTGCATGCATGAGGCCCTGGGTTCGATTCCTCAGCACCACATAAGCAAAAAGAGAAAAGCCAGAAGTGGCGCTGTGGCTCAAAGTGGTAGAGCCTTGAGCTGAAGAGCTGAGGGACAGTGCCCAGGCCCAGAGTTCAGGCCCTACAATCGGACCTCCCCCCACCCCCAAAAAAAAGAGATTACCTGAGCTGGGCTCTGGTAGCTCACACCTGTAATCCTAGCTATTCAATAGGCTGAGATCTGAGGATGGTGGTTCAAAGCCAGCCTGGGAAAGAAAGTCTAAGAGACCTTTATCTCCAATTAACTACCCAATAAAAGCTGGAAATGGGCTGGGAATGTGGCTCAGTACTAAAATGTGCATGAAGCCCTAGGTTCAATTCCTCAGTTCTATGTAAACAGAAAAGGCTGGAAGTGGCACAGTGGCTCAAGTGGTAGAGTCTAGCCTTGAGCCAAAGAAGCTCAGGGACAGTGCCCAGGCTCTGGATTCAGCGCCCAGTATTGGGGGGAAAATTACCTTAGCAGTATACTTACAATCTGGCTACTCAGGAGGCTGAGTTCTGGGGAATACAATCTGAAGCAAATCTGAGCTTCAGTCTGTGAGACTCTACCTCTAATCAGCCAGCAAAAGGCATTACTAAAGGTATGGCTCAAGTGGTAAAGCATCAGCCCTGAGTGAAGAAATATCTCAAGTATTTGCAATCTTACAAATGCCACAGGCTATATTTTCATATAAGGAGTTAGAATTCATCCCACTCTGGAGTTTCTGGACTGCCATGAATCAACAAGGGGCAACATTTTTCCTCCATGAGGGAAGCTTCTACTGAGGTTGCAAAGCCATGATTGGCTAGTCATGCCCAGTTACAAGTAGGGAGTGAAACCAGGTCAAGAGTGTTTGGATTATTGTCCTAGAAATGGCTATTTCTTTTATTTGAAGTCTTAGGAACAATGAAAGACAACAGAGTTTCAAGGGTTGACTCAATAGTATTTCAAAAATTTCAAAGCAACAGGGATGTGCGGATAACTCAGTGGTAGAATATGTGCTTGGTCTGTGTGAGGTCAATCTTCAGCAAGGAAAATAATAAGATGCTTATCTTACAAATAGATTTAAGATATGAGGTATGATGAGTGTCTGTGTGTGTGTGTGCACACGTGCACGCGCGCGCGCGCGCGCGTGTGTGTGTGTGTGTGTGTGTGTGTGTGTGCTGGTACTGAGGCATGAACATAGAGCCTCAGTCCTTCTCTTGGCTTTTGTACTTAAGGATGGTATTCTGCCACTTGAACCATACCTCCAGTTCCAAAGAGAGATTTAAAAAAAAATAAACTGCTCATGAAGAAGTAAGTGGAGTTGAAATTCTGGCTGTGCCATGGCAGGTCTGTGGCCACAGGCTGGCTATGGAGCCTCTGATCTTTGGTCTTCAACTCTGTAAACAGGGCAAGCCATTCCCTTATGTCAGGACCAAGGGGGCACAAAGCAGACCTCAGATGTGGCATCTCCCTCCCTTAGATCGTCTCCTTAGCTATCAACCCTCTCCCTCCAAAGAGGAGCAAATGAAAACACAACCCAAACCCTTTCCACAGCCCCATGGCTGGAGGTCATGGGTCTGCTGTGGTTCTCTTTTCTCAACCTTCCATCCTGACCTACATGGTCTCCACTGGAATTCTCAAGCTGACCCTTAACTCCTGGCAGTGGGAAATCACTCACCATCTGCTGCCCACCCCACCTACCCCACCCAGCTGAGTGCTGGGCCATCCAAAGCAAGGACTTCTCTGGAAAGCATGCTCAACTCTTTTTCTTTCTTATCAGGCAGGTTCCACACCTGTCCCGGCCCTGCTTCTCACCACTGAACATAACTGAGCACGAGTGTCTGCTCTCAACCCTCTCGGCACAAACCCTATATTGCATCCACTCAAAAAGGAGGGTCTTCTCTTAGGTCATTTATTCCCTTAAGAGTGTATTTGATTACCCACTCTCAGAGGGACCCACCTTTGGCTTCATTAAACCTTACTCTAGGTCTCTGAGCTCTGGTGCTGACGGATCAGCAGAGTCAGCATCTCCTTCCGGGTCTTGCCAATCACACTGGCCCAGCCAGTTGGACTAGCTGCCTCTCCCACTGTTTCTCCCAACCACCTGGCCACCCCAGAGCACACCCTCATCGTCTCATCTTTCTAGGTTTACCAGTTGATCATATCTTTCTCTCTCTGGTCTTCACCATACCAGGAAGGTAATGGACCTAACATCCATCGCCTGCAGTCCAAAGTAAAACCTTCTTGGGAAGGGAGGAGTCAGAATTCCATCATTTTTTGAGGGGAAAGGGCATTTTGTTTTGTTTCCGTTTCTCTACGTTTTATTCAGCTGTCTTCTTTGGACAATAACAGAGATTACTATCTCTGGTTTTTTGTTTGTTTTTTGTCCATTGTAGGACTTGAGCTCAGGGACTGGGCACTGTCCCTGAGCTCTTCTGCTAGTGCTAGGCTAGTGTTCTACCTCTTTGAGCCACAGCCCCATTTCTAGTTTTCTAGTGGTTAATTGGAGATAAGAATCTCACAGAGTTTCATGCCAGGCTGGCTTTGAACCTGAATCCTCAGATCTCAGCCTCCTGAGTAGCTAGGATTATAAGTATGAACTACCAGTACCCAGCTTACTATTGTTTTTTGTTTTTTCTTTTAAATTTCATTTTATTGTAAAGATGCTGTACAGAGGAGTTACAGTTGCATGGATAAGGTAATATGTACAGTTCTTGTTGAACATTGTTACCTTTGGTTTTTTCCTACTATCCTTTCCTTCCCCCTTCCCATCTCCTCCCTCCACCCCACAAGCCAGTGATAACAGGGGATATACTATAGGATGAAGAACATACCAAAAAAAAAAATCACATAGTATATTAAAAACAACAACAATAAAGAAAAATCTCTTGCCGGGCGCTGGTGGCTCACGCCTGTAATCCTAGCTACTCAGGAGGCTGAGATCTGAGGATCCCAGTTCAAAGCCAGCCCGGGCAGGAGAGACTGTGAGACTCCTATCTCCAATAAACCACCAGAAAACCGGAAGTGGTGCTGTAGCTCAAGTGGTAGAGCACTAGCCTTGAGCTGAAGAGCTGGGGGACAGTGCCCAGGCCCAGAGTTCAAGCCCCACGAACAACAACAAAAAAATCTCTTTTGTCCATATCTTAGGGTTCTTTTCATTTAGCATCATCTTATATGTTCATATATGCATAGTTTTTGAGCTTTTCTTTTTTTTTTTTGTCAGTCGTGGGGCTTGAAATCTGGGCCTGAGTGCTGTCCCTCAGTTCTTCAGCTCAAGGCGAGCGCTCTACCACTTGAGCTACAGCGCCACTTCCGGTTTTCTGGTGGTTTATTGGAGATAGGAGCCTCACAGTCTTTCCTGCCCGGGCTGGCTTTGAACCGCGATCCTCAGATCTCAGCCTCCTGAGTAGCTAGGATTACAGGCGTGAGCCACAAGCCCCCTGCAAGTTTTTGAGCTTTTCTGCTCATCTGATATGATTATCCTAGACATATATTAGTTATTGCAAATAAAGGAAACCATGGAACCTATATTTCTTTAGGTCTGGCTTACTTCATTTAAATGATTTTTTCCAAGTCTCCATTTCCTAACAAATGGGGTGGTGTCATTCTTTCTGATGAAAGCATAGAATTCCATTGTGTATATATACCAAATTTTCTTGATCCATTCATCTACGGAGGAACATCTCGGTTGGGTCCATATCTTAGCTATGGTGAATAATGCTGCGATAAACATAGTTGTGCTGGTAGTTTTAGTATGGCCTTGTTTGTGATAGTTTGGGTAAATGCCCAAAAGTGGAATTGCTGGGTCATAGGGGAGCTCTATGTGGAGTCTTTTGAGGAACCTCCATACTGCTTTCCAGAGTGGCTGAACAAGTTTCACTCCCACCAACAGTGCAGTAGGGTTCCCTTTTGGCCACATCCCCTCCAGCATCTGCTGTTGTTAGATTTCTTGATTATAGCCACTCTAACTGGGATGAGGTGGAATCTCAATGTTGTTTTGATTTGCATTTCTTTTAGGGCCAGAGAAGTTGAGCATTTCTTCATGTGTCTATTGGCCATTCTTATTTCCTCTTCAGAGAAGTCTCTCTTTAAGTCTTTAGCCCACTTATTAATGGGTGGTTGTTTCTTTGAGGATTTGTTTTTGGGGGATTTAATTTTTTGAGTTCTGAGTATATTTTAGATATGAGGCCCTTGTTTGTTGTATGGCTAGTGAAGATCTTCTCCCAATCCATGGGCTTTTTATTGATCTTGCTAGCTATGTCCTTTGCTGCGCAAAAGGTTTGTTATTGTTTTAATATTTGTATTTGTATGGAAAAACTTTGAACCCTTTGGTTAATCTTTTTTTTCTAATTGAGATATAATTCACACATCACAAAAGTCACCCATGCAAAGTGTACAGTTCAGGGGGTTATCATTGACACCAATTTCAGAACTCTTTCATCGCCTTCAAAAGAAGCCCTTAAACTCATTAACATTCTTCTCTCCCGAAGCCTCCAGCAACCATTAATCTATTTTCCATCACTACCAAATTGCCTGTTCTGCTTATTTTCACATACGAGGAATCACACAGTTTGTGTCTGGCTTTTTTCACTTAGAATAATGTTTTCAAAGTTACTTTATGTGGCATTGTGTTTCAGTCCTTCAGTCTTTCTTATGACTGAATAGCAGTCCATTGTATATATGTACTTTGATTTATTTATCCATCCATCAATGGTTGGACGTTTGGTTATTTCCTCTTTTTTTGTATGTGTGTGTACTTACACTGGGGCTTTTCATCAAGGCTACCACTTGAGCTACAACTCCACTTCCAGTTTTTTGGCCGTTAAAGGAAAATAAGTGTCTCACAGACTTTTCCTGCCTGGGCTGGCTTTGAACCACAATCCTCAGATCTCAGCCCTCCTAAGTAGCTAGGATTACAGGCGTGAGCCATCAATGCTCAACATACTTTCACTATCATACTTCGGCTATCATGATAATTGCTGCTATAAACATGTATACAAGGCTTTGCCTTTTTCAAGGTTCTTGAGTATATACCAAGGGATAGAACTGCTGGGTAATATGGAATATGGTTAAACTGGCTGAGCAAATGCTGACCTTCTTTCCCAAAGCAGCAACACCATTGTGTGAGGGTCCCGATTTTCCTGACATCCTTATTGTCTGTCCTTTTCTTACATATTTTTATTATTATTATCTTTAAGTAGTTGTACAAAGAAGTTCCCATTCTACAAAACAGTATATAAGTACCAGGTGTCTGACAACACTGTCACCCATCATTCCTAACCCATCCCTTCTCTCTCATTTTTTAAAAATTGAGATTAGGTGATTACATAAATTTCATATTTTCCACAGTATTGTGGAATAGTGACACTTAGTTAAAGTTATGAATACATTTTAACCTTCACAAGGCAAATTATCATTATCATGGTCTATAAAGTTTGTGAAGTCTATGCCCTTTGACAATACAAGTTATTTCTTCCACGTCAGATGATGATTACATTTCTTTCCTTTTGCTTAGTGTAGGCTGTTCCCTCTTTCCCTCTTATTCCTCCCTTCCCATCGCTGTCTTTGGGTTGCTTAGTTCTTTTTCTTCTATGTCCAGTGCAGCTGATGGGCCCCTTTGTTGTATGTTGCTCCATTTCCCACTTATTCTGTTCCTCCTCCTGTCTTCCCTCCATTGCATGCATATATCTACCCAATATGTGATCAAGAACATGGAGTCATTTAGCAATGATACGACAAAATGGGTGGCTGTCCTTTGTTTCTTGAGTCCTGTTTACTTTGTCATATCTTCTTGCATTTTGGTTTTAGCCTCCACATATCAAGGAGACCATGTGCCGTTTGTCTCTTTGTTCTTGGCTTACTTCACTCAAAATAATTTGCTCTAGTTCCATCCATTTCCCTACAAATGCCATTATTTTGTCCTTTCTGACGTCTTCATGATATTCCATCATATATAGGTATCACAACTTTTTTTTTTGGGGGGGGGTCCGGTCGTGGGGCCTGAACTCTGGGTCTGGGCGCTGTTCCTCAGCTCTTCAGCTCAAGGCTAGCACTCTACCATTTGAGCCACAGTGTCACTTCTGGCTTTTTTTTTTTTGCTTATGTGATGCTGAGGAATCGAACCCAGGGCCTCAGGCATGCAAGGCAAGCGCTCTACCACTGAGCTACCTTCCCAGCCCCGGTATCACAACTTTTTGATCCATTCATCAGAAGTAGGGCATCTGGGGCAATTGTGAACAGTGCTGCAATAAACATGGAGGTGCATGTGCCTTTGTATACTGGTTCCTGTGGCTCAGGGTAGATGCCTAGGAGTGGTATGGCTGGGTCATAGGGAAGTTCTATATTTAGCTGTCCTAGGTAGGTCCAGACTGCTTTCCAAAGTGGTGGTATTAGTGTACATTCCCACCAGCAATGCAGTAGGGTTCCTCTTTCTCCACATCCCCTTCAGTATTTGTGGCTGGTTGAATTTAGAATATGGGCCATTCTGACTGGGGTAAGGTGGTATCTCAGTGTTATTTTTATTAGTATTTCCTTTACAGCCAGGTGATAAACATTTCTTCATGTGTTTCTTTGCCATTTTTTATCTCTTCTTCTGAGTAGTTCCCTTGCTCATTTCATGATTGGTTTGTTAGATTTGGGAGGGGTGAGTTTCTTGAGTTCCCTTTATATATTGGATATTAGGCCCTTGTCTGATATCTTGCTAGTAAATATTTTTTCTCAATTAGTTGGCTTTCTTTCTAATTTGGTTGCTATTTCTTTTCTATTTTTTTTTGGGGGGGGGGCAGGGGGTCTGGTCATAAGGCCTGAACTCTGGGCCTGGGCACTGTCCCTCAGCTCTTCAGCTCAAGGCTAGCGCTCTACCACTTGAGCCACAGCGCCACTTCCGGCTTTTTTCTTTTTGCTTATGTGGTGCTGAGTAATTGAACCCAGGGCCTCAGGCATGCAAGGCAAGCGCTCTACCATTGAGCCACCTTCCCAGTCCCCAGAGTATCAGGTTTGATGTTAAGGTCTTTAATCCATTTTGAGTTGATGTTAGTGTATGGTGACAGGCTAGGGTCCACTTTCAGTTTTCTGCATGTGGCCACCCAGTTTTCCCAGCACCAGTCATTGAAGAGGTTATAATTCTTCCACTGTGCATCTTTGGCTCCTTTGTCAAATATCAACTGACTGTATGTGTCTGTCCTTTTATAAGTGAATGTGAAGTAGTTCCTGGGAATTTTTACTTCCTGATTCTTCTCTAGCACTGGCTTCTATTTGGACACAGGTTATGGCTTGGATACAATCATAGTATAGTCATAACTTGCTGTAAAGAAACGGCATGGTGGCCATCTATTTTGTAGTTTCATGGGGAGATAATTTAGTATCTGGTTTGCATTTATTTACTTCTTGGAAAACTGGAATAAGATTTCAGAGCGACTCCTTACCCAGGCATTCCCCAGAAGCAGAATCTTTGCTAACCTCATAGCAAAGGCAGAACCCATGGAGGCAGAGAAAGTGGGAGGGGAGCAGGGAGCCAAAGATGGAAGAAAGCCCACACACACAGCCCAGGAAGGGTCCCCACTAAGACTGGAAAGCCACCACATCAAAGGAGGTATGTCTCCACCTGTCTTCTCTACTTCTTATTGTCCATACCCCTAATTCTGGAGGCACAATAGTGGCTCACCCTCACAGGGCAGAATGGGGCCACCCAGAACTCTCCAAATAATCTGTTCCATTGCCATTCACTTGGAAAAGCAGTACGCTGCCAGCTTCTCACGCTGAATGTACCTCTTTACAAGCTATACAAATACCCTTAGATTAAGTCTCCTTCTTTCTAAAAGAGATATGTTGGGCCTTAATCACCAACTGAAATTTCTTCTAGAACATATCTTATGGAACTCCACACTGCTATTGTTGCTATGGCTTTTTTAGACTATTTCTTTTAAAATAACGTTCAGAATATTGGACAAAGGGATTCATCTCTCAGCTTTAAAACAGGCCTTGATTCTTTCCTTTTTCTCTTTCTTTCTTTCTTTCTCTCTTTCTTTCTCTCTCTTTCTTTCTTTCTTGACTAGTACTAGGGACTGTCCCTGAGGTTTTTCTCTCAAGGTTAGCACTCTACCACTTGAGCCACAGCTCCACTTTTTATGGCTTTTTGGTGGTTAGATGGGGAGAAAAGTCACACAGACTTTCTTGCTTGGGCTGGATTGGAACTGTGATCCTCAGATCTCAGCCTCCTGAGTAAATAGAAATACAGGTGTGAGCCACCAATACCTGGCTGAGCCATGATGTTTTTCTAGAAGTACAACCCAATTGATGGGCCTGCTTTCTCCACAAGACTAAGAACTGAAGGGCATCTCAGGTTTCTGAATATTAAATTCAGCATCCGTAGCCAAGATTGCTCACCATTGAGAGACCTAAGACAAGTATTCTGTAGGGATTATCCAAAGGGAAATTTCAACAAAGCTTTGGGTAATGGCCATATCATAAGAAATACTAAGAGCTTACCTTGATATTAAAGTGAATTATAGTCTTCCTAAACTGTCTTATCTATCATTCATTTGTATCACAACCTGATTGCTCTTCACGTTGACAAGTCTGAAGAGAAATTTTCTTTCATGTAACTTGCATACCAATGTAAAGAGCTTTCCTATCGGTTTCACAGATGGATGAATAAGAATCAAGGGAGAGTTGACTGGGTCGTAACTGTCATCTCTCCTTTATCAGCAGGATTGGAAAAAAAGATGGAAGACTTTAACTGGGATGATTACTTTGATGATTTTAATTACAGTTCTGGCCTGCCCAGTATTCCACCAGATTTTGCCCCGTGCACACTATACTACATTGGAATCAACATTCATGTAGTGATCCTGATTTATGTCCTGGTGTTCCTGCTAAGCCTTCTGGGAAACTCCCTGGTGATGTTGGTCATTTTATACAACCGAGTGAACTGCTCTGTCACCGATGTCTACCTGCTGAACTTAGCCATGGCTGATCTGCTCTTTGCCCTGACCTTGCCCATCTGGGCAGCTTCCAGAACAAATGGTTGGACCTTTGGCACACCTCTGTGCAAGGTGACCTCATTCCTGAAAGAAGTCAACTTCTACAGCAGTATCCTGGTACTGGCTTGTATCAGTGTGGACCGCTACCTGGCCATTGTCCATGCCACACGCACACTGACCCAGAAGCGACACTTAGTCAAGTTTGTATGCTTGGGCATGTGGGGACTGTCCCTCATTCTGTCCCTGCCTGCCTTACTTTTGCGTAAGACCGTCTACAGCCCCAATTACTACCCAGCCTGCTATGAGGACATGGGTGAACATACAACAAAGTGGCGATTAGTGTTACGTGTCCTGCCTCAGACCTTCGGCTTCCTCCTGCCCCTGCTGGTCATGCTGTTCTGCTATGGATTCACAATACGCACGCTGTTTAATGCTCACATGGGGCAGAAGCACCGTGCCATGCGGGTCATCTTTGCTGTGGTGCTTGTCTTCCTGCTCTGCTGGCTGCCCTACAACCTGGTCCTGTTGGCAGATACCCTCATGAGGACTGGAATGATTGAAGAGACCTGTGAGCGCCGCAATGACATTGACCACGCCATGGAGGCCACTGAGATCCTGAGCTTCCTACACTGCTGCCTTAACCCCATCCTCTACGCCTTCATTGGCCAAAAGTTTCGCTATGGATTCCTCAAGATCCTGGCCACCTATGGCCTGGTCAGCAAGGAGTTCTTGGCCAAGGAGAGTAAGCCTTCCTATGTTGGCTCTTCTTCAGGAAACACTTCCACTACCCTCTAAGATGGCCTTGCCCTTACGGCCCCTTGGGGTTTCTCCTGGTCTTGGACATCTCATTCCAAGCCCCTAGTCCACTGGCTGTTCATGATATCTTGAATGTAGACCCTCTATTAAGATTTTGACAAGGGCCACATTCTTACCCGGCTCCCATTGCATGGTTTAGAAAGCCTGTCCTGACACTCTACCCCGTTGCATAATTACTATACCAATACATAGTTGTTTTCTAAGAATTGTAATTAGCCAGATGCCAGTGGCTCATGTCTGTAATCCTAGCTACTCAGGAGATCTGAGATCTGCAGATTGCTGTTCGAAGCCAGCCCAGGCAGGAAAGTCTATGAGACTCTTATCTCCAATTAATTTCACACAAAATAAAATAAAATAAACAGAAGTGGAGCTATGGTTCAAGTGGTAGAGCACTAGCCTTGAGCACAAAAAGGCTCAGGGACAGCACCCAGGCCCCGAGTTTAAGCCCCACAACTGACAAAAGAAAAGAAAAAAGCTCATGTACAGTGCCCAGGCTTTGAGTTCAAGCCCCAGAAAAAGAAAGAAAGAAAGAAAGAAAGAAAGAAAGAAAGAAAGAAAGAAAGAAAGAAAGAAAGAAAGAAAGGAAGGAAGGAAGGAAGGAAGGAA